GGCGGGGGGGTGGGGAGGGGACGTCCGGAGAGGCGGTCGTGGGGGCGACGGCAGACGGCGGTTTCTCCGTGAACTGGGTGATGACCTGAGAGATGTGCCTTTTTCTGTGTCTGTACCAGCTGTTTAAAGAAGGTGCTCGGAAAGTCGGCGTGTGGGGCGGTTTATGCCGCAGTGATGTCTTTTCAGTCTGCGTCCCGTTCTTCGAAGTGCTTCCTTTAAAAAGTGTGTCTTACGACCTGTCATCCCAGCGCTTGGGGAGGCCGAGGCGAGGGGCTTGCCTGACGCCGGGGGTTCGAGACCAGCCCCGGGCAACTTGGCGAGACCCCAGTTTCTACCATGAATTTTTAAAAAATGAGCCGGGCGTGGTCGCGCGCGCCTGTAGTTCCGGCTCCTGGGAAGGCTGAGGCGGAAGGATCGCCGCAGCCCAGCAGGTGGACGTGAGGGTGTCCCTGCGCTCCAGCCTGGGCGACGGAGTAAACCTCCGAATCAAAATAAAGATAAAAATACAGAGTAGCACCAAGTGTGCCGTTTGTAAGGTTTGGATATTTAACAAAAATACTGGCACCCATTTCCATGTGGATTGCAGGCAAACAAGGACTACATTTTTAATGTATCTCTGCTCCCTGAAATATTGGGGATATATTTATATTACAATGTTTGCTTGTTTATTTGAAATGTAACTTGAGCCAGGGGGTGTGTGGTTCAAGACATGGATGTACTTTTGGAGGCTTTCTGTTATAAGCCGTAGCTTTACGTGGGCACTCCTTACAGGGGGTTAACGTAGAACACGTAAATTCTTTTTTTTTTTTCCTATCTGGCAAAAAAGATAATTGAAAAAATGAGATATTTAGGGGAGCACATTAACTCTTCAGTCATTAGATTATAGGAACTAAAATTTTAGTTTCTCCAAGTGCGATGTGGGGAAGCTCAACTTCTCTTCGTTGCTGCTGTTGCTTTTAAATAGTGTTAATTTTGTCTGATTGTTGATAAAATACAATCTGTCAGTGTTTGTTAAGTCCTCCCCATCCCCCATTCTGCTCTCTTCCTTTGATAACTACATGGCTCACTGCTCCGAGGTCACTTTATCAGTGAAGCTTTTCCTTAGGACCCTAAACGAAATAGATTTCCCGCTAACCATGCACCCATCCTCTCATTTCTTATCCACCACATTCTGTATACAGTGTTTCCCCCAAAGCACTTACTACCAGCTGCAGACATTTATTTACTTGATTTTACTTGTATGTGTGGCCTTATTGGAACTCAAGTTTCATGTGGGTGGAGATGTTTATATTTTTTTCACTGCTGTATCCCCAGCACCTAGAAATGTTCCTGAGGCATGGTGGAGCTCAATAAATATTTGTTCCTTAGATGAATGTGTATTGTGGTATGGAAAATGGGAGTTATTAGTTAATGCCGGTCTTCAAGAAAATACTACCTACTGTCTTATGTGTTTAAAGACTTTGTAATTAAGTTTGCATGATATAGAAAAACAATACTCACTGTTTTCTGACATGGAACTGTACTTCTCATAAGTTTACTCTAATCCTTACCATCTTACACAATAAAAGTAGCCCACTTCATTCATGAACCTCTCTTGTAAACACCAGCCTACTTCAGACTCCTGTTTAACTGACAGTACTAAACTATATATTTCCCTCCTTGTATTTTTAAACCCCATTTGTGTAATTATTGCCCCAACTAGCTGGCAAGCCTTTTTTAAAAAAAAAAAAAAGAAAGAAAGGAAATAAATGATCACTATAGGCCAACCTGCTTGTATTTATCTCAGCATATGCTGACTTGAAGGTATACTGACTAGGAGAATGAAATTGAGAAAGTTGAGCAGTGGCATTTTTTATAAGACATTTTTGAGCCAGTACTAAGTATTCCGTAAATTGTTACATTTGAAGTGTGGGTGTATAGTTTATCCATGATAATGTTTGATTTTATTTTAAAACATTTCCTACACATTTTCCTTAGGAAGAGAAAAGAGCAAAGCTCGCAGAGGCTGCAGAGAGAAGACAGAAGGAGGTAAGGTTAAAAATAAAATTCTGCCTGCTTAGATAATTATGTGTTTATGTTTTTTTCCCTCCATAGATGTCTGTTGCTTATGTAAACGGTGCCTAATATCCTACAAAATTATACATAAAGATAATCATTTTCTAAATGATTTCCATGTTTCTGTATATTGCCTTAATATATTTACATGATTAACTATATGAAAATTAACTAACAGATGTCTTCTATAAATTGAGATGCTCCTATAATAACATTTTTCCTTGGGATAAAATGGCCATGCCGTGTAAAAACACTGACAGGTGTGAAGCAAGTTTAAGGGGAAATTTCATAGTGTTGCAAAATGTCCAATGAAGAAATGATAGTATATTTTATGTAAGGCTGTGGTAGAAATATTCTAATTATGTGTTAAACCAACTCCTTATCTCCATAGAAATACCTGAAAAGCAAAAGACAAACAAAATTTTGCACACTGGATACTGATTTTGACTTTTTTTCTATAACTTTTATCAAATTTCTTAAAGGCTGCATCTCGGGGGATTTTGGATGTTCGATCTGTGGAAGAAAAGAGAAAGAAAAAAGAAAAAATAGAAAAACAAATTGCCACATCTGGGCCACCACCAGAAGGTGGACTTAGAGTAAGTATTACAGTTTACTTAAGGTTTAACTTAACTGGCATTTTTAAAAACTTAAGTAGTCATCCATTCAATAATGTTGTCTTAAAATGCATTAACAGTAGAGGTGATGGGGTGATGAGTATACTTAAAGCTCAGCTGTCTGCATCCAAAATAAAAAAGTGCATTAACAGAAAATTTTGAAGTAATTTAAAAGCATGAATAGCATAGATCAGAAGAGGTGCCAGTTTATTTTAACATTTATTGGAATGGATTGGCTTTCTTTTTCCCAAAATGAATAAAATACATCTTTCCAACATTATATTTTGATATTTTTATACTTAATTCTAATTTTAAAAATGTCAAAAAATTAAGCAATATGGAAAAGTCTAAAGAAGAAAATAAAAATCATGCAAATTTAGTGTCATTTTACAGACATTTTAATCCCCATTTACATAACAACATAATTGAATTGGATTACACTATACATTCTGTCTCACAGCCTAAATTTTTTTAACTCAGTTATTTGATATCTTTCATCTATAGTTATGTAACATTAGTTTGGATCAGAGGATATACAGTTGTTGGTGTGACACAGGTAATTCTCCAGGTGCCAGTCACATAGCTAGACAATGGGAACATAATAGTGGACACATTAAGCAAGGTCTTTGAACTAGGGATCTTTATGATCTAGCAGAACTCTAAAGGACTCATTTTACATGTTAAAGCTCAGGAAAATAGTGGTTCCAATATTAAGGTTTTATGCTTAGTCCATTTTTTTTGGGGGGGGGTTGGAGTCTCACTCTATCACCCAGGCTGGAGTGCAGTGGCACACTCACAGCCACTGCAGCCTCAACCTCCTGGGCTCAGGCGATCCTTCTGCTTCAACCTTCCAAATAGCTGGAACTACATGCATGTGCCACCACACTCAGCCAATTTTTTTATTTTTATTGTAGAGATGAAGTCTTGCCAAGTTGTCCAGGCTGGTCTTGAACCCATGGGCTCAGGCAATACTCTAACCTCGGCCTCTCAAAGTGCTGGGATTATAGGCATGAACTACTGCGCCCAGCCTCTTAGACCATTTTTTTTTTATTTTTGAGTTGGAGTCTCATTTGGTCGCCCAGACTGGAGTGCAGTGGCCGCTCCCGGCCACCGCAGCCTCGCCTGCTGGGCTCTGGCAATCCTTCCGCCTCAGCCTTCCGAGTAGCCGGAATTACAGGCATGTACTACCATGCCCGGCTGATTTTTTTGATTTATTGTAGTGATGAGGTCTCGCTGCCCAGGCGGGTCTCGAACCCGTGGGCTCAGGCAATCCACTCACCTCAGCCTCCCAAAGGCGCGAGATTACAGGCTGAGCCACCAAGCCCGGCTTCTTAGACCATTTTTAAAGGAAATACTTTTAGTAAGCATATTTATGAAAGGGACAGTGTCTTTCATTTTAGTTACTTATATTGAACCTATCAATAATTATGAGTACTAATTTTTAGCTGATTCATTGTCTTTGCAATTCAGCTTTGTTTTTAGCTCTCGAAACCACACACACACACACACAGACACACCAAACATGCCCATGTGCTCACACATGCCTGCACTCGCGCCACTGACTTATGGGGCAGGCAGCTATTCTAAGCAGATGGCTCAGGAATATTACAAAGAGATAAGAGTTATCTGTGCATATTTTACTCTTATAATTTATTTCATCTGATTTCATCTAATGAATGACATTTTTTAAAGTTTATTTTTTTTTACGATGAACATTTAACAATGTATCAAATAGTTGGTTTCAAGATTAAGGTAAATAAGTGTGACCATTTTGCTAATGTTTTTTATACCCCTGGGATGGAACAGAATAGATCTATGCAAAGTAAAACAGCTGGAAGACAACAAAGTCAAATCTTTATCAGAAATATAGAGTACTTCTTTCAATATTCTGTTAAGATAAAGAAGTGTGTCCCTAGTTTTGCTTCATATAGGGTTCTCAGAAACAAACACAAACTTTTGAAAATTAAATTGTGGGATCAGAAATGTTGAGATCCACCGTTTCATAATAGGAGAGGTGGAAGTATTTAGACTCTCATATAATGCAGTAAGAAACCAACACTTTAATCAATACTTAAATAGAGAAGATACTTATTTCAGATTTTCTAGCCTAATAAATTTAACATCAGTTTTTAAAATTTAAGAAATAAGGGGCTTTCTTAATTAAACTTAAAGATTCCACACTCTGAAGCCTGTAGATTAAAAAGAAATTAGTCCTTACATTATCTCTGGTACCCTCAAAAATGTTCAGAATGAAACACATTTAGTATTAAATTTAGAACTTTTATTTCTTTTTTTTCTCCTTATAAGAAATCTCTCTGGCCCCCTTAGGGGCAGGGGGACTTTCTCGAAAAGAGTAGTCGTTCTCAGGAACCACTGCTTTTACCCACTGTGGGTCAGTTTTCCTTGGAATATTCCTAATCATCTCTATTGCCAAGACACTAGCCTTAAGGGACATGCTCCTTCCCCCTCAACTATGTGCAAAGCACATTAAGAGCATGAAATTCAAAAAAAGTATTTGGAGGCTCAGGTATAAAAAAAGGGAAAATACAAGGCAGAAAGTCACTTAATCCTCAGACCACTTGGCCTAGGGTCTCCTTTTAGGACTGCTGTCCCGCCTGTTCCATAAGCTGACCTGAATTATCCTAGAGAATAACTAAATCTCTCCTTACTAGACTCCACAGTATGAGGAAAATATTTCCTTCTGCTATCTTCATACCTTCCATAAATTCATCTTCTGACCAGCTCTGCCTCTTCCCAGGATAATTACCTTTACCTTAAGAAATCAATGTGATGACTACATCAGGGTGCCAAGAACTGTCAGTAGAGAATATAGCAGCATGGGAGTCGTGGCAGCCTGCTAGTGCAGAGGCTCTCAACTCTGCTGCTGTACACTGGAGTCTCATGGGGAGCTTCCAAGAAAGACTGGTCATTGGGCTTCATTCACGCCGCTCAGCATCTCTGAGAGTGGAGTTTAGCCATCAGGACTTTTTAAGCTCTCTGTGGTAGTCTAATAGGAAACCAGATGGAGCATCACTCCTTTAGTGTTTAGAACACTAGTCCAAAGAGATATGTTGTAGAAAGTAGAGTCCCATGGTAAAATACAAGTTAAAAACTGTTTAAAAATCCTGAATTGTATGTTGTAGACATTATCTCCTTCTTTGAGATAAAAAGGGGCTCAGAATTAAAGCCTCTCAGAAGTCACATGATAGAGAAAAGCATGTTTACTTAAACTTCAGTTCTCAAAATTTATTTAATATAGAGTTTTTAAAAATATATAACACCTAGTAATATTCCTTGGATGTACATGGAAAACTCTACTCAAGAGATGGTGATATATCTGTCTTCCCTATCCTTTGGACTCTTTCAGAGCCAGCCATCACAGATTTCATAAGCTTGGTTAAACAAACGAACAAGTGGAACCCTAACTCAGGCAAGGAAAAGACCTTGCCAAGCCATCATGTAGTAGTTTCTTCAGTTTCTTGACTCCCTGGCGCAAGCAATTTATTTTTATTTTGTGGTGTCTTTGTTTTTTGTTTTGTGGTGTTTTGCTTTGTTTTTCTTTACTGTTAATGGATATTTGGAATCTAGTGACAGAGAAACAGGTTCACTGTGCTGTGGCTACAAACTTTTGAGTCCAATGGATGGAACAACCATGCATGCAACGATTATAGGAGATGGGTTTATTACTTACATTCAGGCAGCAAGGAACCATGGAGCGTAAGGATTCATCTCCATCTGGTCTCCCAAAACTTAGGAAAGCTGCCCAGGGTTGGTGGCATCTCAACTGTGTGTGCCCCACTTGCGCCATGGGTAAGGGCCCCATGAAAGCAGCACCCCTTGAGTTTTATCACCTTGGTGCAGGGGGTGTGCTGCATGAGGCTACAGCATTGAAGGACATCCTGTTTTCAGAGAGGGACTGGAACAGCCTGGGCTGTTCTGGGCACTCTCTTATACCAAGATGCCATAGTCCCAGCACATTATAGTTATTCTTGAGAGGTACTGACAACACAGTAGGAGACAGTGGTCCTGCAGCTTTGCTCATTGATCTGACCAGATACTTTTTCTTACTTCTTTAAATTTTTAAACCATCATCTTATTTCTGACTTTTGACTGTAATGTAAACTAGTATTAGTAGCTGCTATTCATAAAAATATTTTGCATTTCTATATTCCATATTCCTTTTTTTGCCTGTTTGTTCATGAGGACATGGTTACATAACTCTGAATGAAACTTACTTTTCTGTCTATGTTTTAATCTTTTCTAGTGGACGGTTTCATAAAGCATAACGTGCGTGGAAGAGTCTACTGCCAATAACTGTTTAATATCTGCAATCAAGTGGACTTCCTCAATTTAAGTTTTTCTCTCTGAATAAGTGAAGATTCAGAATTTGTAATATTATTGCCCTTAAATGGAATGCTAAGTCTATATTGAAAATATTGAAAAAAAGTTTGATTTTCAAACTTAGAAAATGGCCAGACTTTTATTTTCCCACATTTGCTCTTCTTCAGTTAGTGGGTGATTTGCCATTTTTTTTAGTAGTTAAAAAATGGATTCAATATAGTGAATACTTAAACATTGCATGTACAAATTCAGCATACATCTCTGATATTAAAATTTGCAATTATATTTATATCCTTTATAAAATAAGCTAACTGCTTATATTTGTGCTGTTTAGCCTTGTATCTGTTTTTATTTCACTACATGTGAAGACTTTTGATTAAACTTTTGGATGTAGTGCCTTTAAACTGATCATCAGGGAAAATCTTGAAAAAAACACCATTTGAAGGGCTTTTGTGATGTAACACTGTACATTTTTATAACTTGGTAAGTCAAATATTTTGGGGCAAGTTTTTTTTTTGAATTTGTTTTATTTCTGTAGCTTATGAAATTAATACATTGTGTTTTACATCACAATAAGTTGCATTTGTTTGCAGAATTTAAAATTATATATTTGTGATACCATCAGAGGGCAGTGATGTACTATTGTATAATATTAGATGCAGCTCTATAAAGACCTCTGTAGTAATTGAATGAGTTAAGCTAATAATCTGAATGGGTTATAATGAGTGGTAATATATTTATCTAAATTTTGTGGGGTTTTTTTGTATTTATTAAAGAATGACCATAAGATTTATACAGATGTGAAATTGCCAAGGCAAGTATGAATGTATGAAAGAGAAACATGTAGGTACTGTATTTAAAAAGGTCTACTTCAAACAAAAAAATATTGGGAGGTAATTCTACACGATGCATAGTCGTAAAGTTTTTAGATCTTTGTACATTAGGAACATGAGTTTTATAGCATTTTTTTTTTTTGCTTTGTCTTCTGATATAATAATATGGTAAAATAAAAGAATTGCTACTAGACATTGAGATTACTAGCTTTTTGAAATGGCAAGGCTACATGCTGAGCCCTAAATTAGAATTTGCAGATACTAAGTGCCAATAGGAGCTGTCAAGTAGAGTTGCTCTCTTGCTTTACACAAATGGAGCCACTGTCTCACCCATCCCTCCCACAAGACTTATGTTAACTGCGGTTTATCTTGGTAATTGGAAGGAATTTGAACTATATAATATAGGTCTCTTGACTTCACAAGGAAAAATTACTTTTTCTATTATGGTATGAAATATTCTATGAATATTCAGGCAAAAAATATAGTTAGGCAGAATTGTCTTTACCCTTTAGAAAATTAATGCTATTTTTGTCTATAAAGGTTAGTGAAATCATTGAATTGTAGTGTAGAATTTAAATTTTCCACTTTATTAACATGTTTAATTTTTCGAAGACACAAAGATCATTCAGTGTTGAATGGGTATGGAACTAGAACTGTGCAAATTTTTTCTCCCATTTTAACATAGTAAGAAAAATTTCATCTTCACTACATCGTAATGAATTAGAACTTGGTTTGGTATAAACAAAAGGTTTACTTCCAGGAAGTTATAATGGCTGTTCCTAACAGCAGTTTAAACCTGGATGTCATGCTTACCTACTGTTGACCCATTAATGATAGTGAGGTAGATTGTTTTTTTGGAAAGAATGGGGCACACTGCTCCTTTCAACCAAGTCCTCCTTGACGAATGTGATTAGCTTTCCTGAAACCACATGGGTTGCAGGGGTTAAGGGGTGATCCCCAAATAGCAACATTGTTAGGAAAGGAAAGGGATGAGTGGATGCCTGATAAGAAACCAGAAAATGACTACTAAAAATATACAGGTGGTGCCCCCCAAAAATGTATATACGTTTTAAGTATGTTATTTACGTAAAAGATGGTGTTAATCAAATGAATGCTGACATCACAATGCGACAGGCAGGACAAAGAAAATGGCAGAAGCATGGTTGAGCAAACATGCTACACATTGCTCCCGTCATTAAACTTCGAAAAGTAACACATAGATAACATCTCTTAAACCATGTGTACATGTTTTGGCACCCCCTATATTTATATCTGGACATTTCTCTCGTAAAATTATGGATAAGTTCCTCAGAAAACCTTAAGTAGAAGCCAGTTTCTCATAATTCACAATTTAAATAGGAGAACATTATAATGCTTAATATGTCAATCAATTCCCCCAAGCAAATTACAGAAATATAAAAACAGTAAAATGCATATATGTAGTGTTAAATATAAAATGCTTAAATCACTGCTTCTTAATTCTATTCAAACTATTATTATGGCTGGTAGCAAAAAAAAAATTGTATGTAATTAAACAGTTCCTTTGTGACATACTGCATGTCTTTAAACATCTATATGTGATTCTGTTGGTCCACCATTTGTATTTGGAATATAATTTAATAGTTTTCCCACACATGATTTTGTTATAAATTCTGTATTGCTGTTTGGGAGATATAAATATACATTTTTGTCAATATAAAAATTGGCTTTGGCCATCTCTGTTAAATATTAACATTTCATCTTTACAAGGTCTTAAATAATTCGAATGTGGGCCAGTGTTTAGGGAAACCTCAGGAACACTTTGATCTCTTTGGAATTAAGAAGAGCAGCAAAAGCTGGGCATGGTGGCTGATGACTGTAATCCCAGTACTTTAGGAGGCTGAAACCGAAGGCTCCCTTGAGCCCAGGAGTTTGAGACCAACCCTAGGCAACACAGTGAGACCTGGTCTCTACAAAAATCTTTTTAAAAATATCCAGATGTGGTGGCGCCCGCCTGTAGTCCCAGATACTCAGGAGGCTGAAGTAGGATAGCCTGAGCCCAGGTGTCCGAGGCCACGGTACATCATGATTGATCGAGCTACTGCACTCCAGCCTGGGTGAAAGAGAGCCTCTGACTCAAGAAAAAAGAAGAGGTGTTTTACAATCCCTGGATTTATAGGCAGGCATGTTTATTTTTCTGTACTTTAAAGGAGAAATAATATCTGTCTCCATTTTTGGTAGATAAATATTCCTATAATAAAAATTCTTTGTATCATCCTTGGTACCCAGGGAGAATTGACATAAGCTTTGAATTTTCCTTTTTTTCCAAAAGTTTGACTTGTTTATTTTCACTGGTAAGAATTATGCTATGTCCCTGGAAGGAAAAAAGTAACTCTTGCCAGGTGTGAATACTAATTTCTGCATAAGCAGGTCAGTACAAGCTAGGTATGACTGACTGTGTTGAGACTTAAGGTGTATTTCTTTAACATCTTCTTCAGGCAAGCATCTCAGATTCTCTTAACTATTTACCATATGTGCTGTAAGCTAATTCAAATATGCTACTGTGGCTTTTTCCCCAATTTTCTAAAAAGCTACTTACCCAAAACTGTGCGTATATAGCAGACTGAAGAAGTTTGGGGTTGATGCAGAGAAGTTTGTGTTCCAATGACTCAAACACTTTAATCTTCTCACTTGACATGACTTTTTATTCTGTTCTCCCTTGTCTAGTTATGCTTCATCTTGCAAACATTGTCTCTAAATATGATCACCATGGTCTAAGAACTGAATACTTGTAAATTCCTTGACCTTCAAATAGGCAAATATTTCTTAGGACACCAAAGGCACGATTAAGTTAAAAATCATAAATTGAACTATATAAACATTTAAAACTTTTATACTTCAAAAGTACTATTAAAAATGAAAAGGAAAACCACAAACTGAGAAAATATTTGTAATAATACATTAGAAACAGGTTATACCCAGAAGATAGCTCCTACAACTCTGTAAGATAATCCAATTAAAAATGGACAAAAGAATAGCATTTCACCAATGAATCTATAAAACAACCATTGTGTGTATGTATACCACATTTTCTTTCTCCATCTGTCGATGGACACTTGGTTGATTCCATATCTTGGTTATTGTGACTAGTTCTGCAATAAACATAGGAGTGCAGCTATCTCATATGGATTTTATTTCCTTTGAGTATATACCCACCCAGTAGTGGGATTGCTGGATCATATGGTAGTTCTATGTTTAATATTTTGAGGAACCTTTGTACTCTTTCCATAAAGACTGTGCTAATTTACATTATCATTAATAAATAGTGTATAAGGGTTCTCTCCAGACACTTGTCTTTTTGTGTGACCCTAATATTCGAATCCCATACTTCATACTGTTGCCCAGTTTGACCACTGGTTTTCTTAGCAAATTATAGGTTACTGATTAGCAAGGTCTAACTGAGACTTGAGCAAGGATGTCTCAGAACTGAAAAATCTGTTTTCTCCAGTGTGTCCTCAGACAAGGCCAACTATTCCACAGGGGAGTTGTAGGGCTGGCTATGACAACCTAAAATCATACATCTCCTAGGAGTAGCCAAACTGAGGCATGAGTAAAGGTAATGGATTCTACTATCTACCCCTCTTCAATATTCTATGACAATGTAAAAATCTTTTCTGTTTTAAGTATTTTGAATAAGTATCTATATATATAGATCATGGATACTTACATCCTTATCAAATACTGTATCAAGAAAGCACTCAGTGAAAGGTGATAGTACATTTATGTATGTTTTCTTTTTGTTGTTATTTTCAATGTATCTTAGGAACAGAAAAGATAGGAAAAAAAGCTGCCCCAAAGCAAGAGAGAAGCATTTAACAGTTCTGATAAATGTGTGAGGACCTAAACTTTAAAGCTGAAATCAGGTTCATAAAGAAGATCGGGGGGGAGGGGGGAATGGCACCATTAGTCATTAAGGGAATGCAAATTAAAACAAAAAAGACACTAGCTTCTTTTCCCTCCAATGGCTATAATCAATAAAAGTGATCACAGCAACTGAAAAAGTGGTCCCCAAATACCTAATATATAATATGAATTACTATTAAAGAAAGTAAACACATAACAATGCAATATAGCAGTTATCAGTCATCAGTCTAGTTAATTCGAGGCTCCTTCCAACTCCCACTTTTTTTTTTTAGAATTTATTTATTTATTATTTATTTATATTTTAAAGATGTGGGGTACAATTCAGGGCTAGGTATACAAATGTTCATTTTGCAGGTACCCTTGTTGATGAGGTGTGCCCCTCCCTCCCCTGGCAGTTTCCCTCAACTGCCAATCCCAACCCCCACCACCCCCAGCAGTTTCCCACTACTCCCAATCCCTTTCTTTTAGTATTATGATAATTGTTCAAGGTTCACTTATAAGTGAGAACATATGGTACTCTGTTCTTTGTTTCTGTGATAGATCACTGAGTATGATAGACTCTAAATTTATCCAAGTTGCTGCGAAGTCCATATGTTTGTCCTTATTTGTGGCTGCATAATATTCCATTGTATATATGTACCTCATTTTTTAAATCCAGTCCCGCTTCCGTGGGCACCATGGTTGGTTCCATGTTTTTGCTATTGTGACCCAACTCCCACTTCTAAGATGCTTTTATGCACAGAGGTTTTGACATTACAGATAACACAGCATTGAATTGTGCATCTGAAGACATGAGTTTTAGACTCATGTTTAACTTTGGGAAAATTTACCTGGTTTCCCTACCCATAAAATCAGAGGACTTGATGTACTTTTTAATTTTCCACTTCTGAGTTTCTATTGAGGTTTGGCCAGTTTTACTCCACTCTGATTAAAAGTCATGGAGTATCAGATTTTAAGAAAGAAAAGCAATGGAATTACAGCCATGCATGTTTGATCTTAGGGAAATTACTTAAAATTTCTGATGCCTTATGACTTGTAAGGGTAAAAAGAGAAGATAATAAGATTTAATAACTTTATGGTTATTGCGAAGATACTTTGTACATTGGAGAACATTGATCAGTTTCCTCCATCGTAGATCTAGAAAAACTGATTTCATGCTTTGTTCTGAGACATTCAATGCTCTTGAGAAACCATGAGGACAAAGATAATTTTCCATAACATGATCCAAAGGAAGGAATCTGAGAAAAAACTTAATCACAAGTCAGTTTAAATTAGTCTTCTCACCAGTGTTTAAATGTTTTGTCTTTTCAGTGACTGTTCAGCAGCTTATTAGGTAAGCATTGTATCTTGGATAGTTTTCATGACTTGGATAGTTTCATGAAAGTTCTTTCCTTTGAGTTACATTTGAATTTTCTCTCCTTATTCACCCTGCATCTATTTTTCTTGGCTAATAATCTCTAGACAACTCAGATAACAGTTTCTTCAAATAATTTCTTTACAGTAAAAAATGAACACTTCCAGTATTCCTGAAATCATTCCTTACAGGTCACTGATTTAAATACCTTTACTGCCTATTTTGTAGGGATTTTATAGGATTTGCCCCCACTCACATCAGAAGAAACTGAGTGACTATGATAGTGGTCTCTTAGTAACTTGAGAATCAGCCTAGCTTTCTCAGTGTTTCAGTATTAGTTCTGACTGTGGTCATTTCACTCTTTACTTACTTGAATTTCTGTAGATACTTTTTTTCTGTTCTCAACCAAATTTCTGGACTACTTAGACTTTTAACTCTTTATTCATTCAATACAGGAGCCCTCTCTTCATTGTTCTTACTCAGATCTTACATCAAGCTGAGAATAAGGTGACACTAGCTTACATCAGTCTACTTCCCGGCTAGTTTTCAATAAGGAGTTAATGATTAAGAGCCTGGGTATAGTTTCATTTTTTCATGTCCCTGTTCAGTACTACTCAGCTAACAACTAGGCTCCAGTGTCAGGTGTGACCATGTTCATAGCTACAATTAAAAGGCCATCTTAGATGTGGTGTAGGCATAATAAGCCCTTCCAAATATGTTCATGTCCTAATCCCCAGAACCTGTGAAAATGTTATATTATGTGGAAAAGGGGTATTTTTTTAGATGTGATCAAATCAATGATCTTAAAGTAGATTACCCAAGTGAACCCAATCACATTACATGTGTCTTAAAAGCAGAAAACCTTTTCAACCTATGGTTAGAGAAAAAGATGTGAAGAAAGAAGGAGGGTCAGAGAGATGCTACATTTCTGGTTTTGAACTTGGAGGATGGAAGTCCTAAGCTAAGGAATACAGGTGACCTCAATAAGGTAGAAAAGATTCTCTATCTTTTGGTTTCTCTTCTGAACTCTTCAGAAATGACTACAGCCTTGATAACACTTTGATATAGGCCCATTAGACTATGTTGAACTTCTGACTACAGAAATGTAAGATAATAAATTTGTGTTAATTCAGCTACCAAATTTGTGGTAATATAAGCCAATAGATAAAGAGATTAATATTATTTTTGTTAAGCTATACTTTCTGAACTAAATTAATGCAATTTATTATTATTATTATTACCATTCTATTTTTACTTTTTAGAGACAAGGTCTTGCTCTGTCACCCAGGCTGAAGTGCAGTGGCTTAATCTTATCACTATTAAAGGTATAGCTATATTTATGGGAAAAGTGTAAGCACAGGAAAAAAATTTTGATGAAAATATTGTCATGGCCATGCTTTCTTAAGCTTTGGCCCCCTCTTCTCCCTTGAGGAGGTGAATCACCTCTCTCTCTCTCTCTCTAATTTACTTTCTAAATAAACTATATTTTCTAATCTGAAAATATTGTCATTATACAGAGAAATTCAGTGTTACTATTAGTTACGCAATTTAAATATTAAATCATTTAATGTTGCATTTTCAAGGATATTAGAATTATTCACTACACCAAGGTAGGCTTATCACCTACAAAGACTGCAGGTATATTTATTTATAATTTAGATTTCACTGACTTTTTTTTCCCTAGAATGATTAGCACTGCTTCTATAACCACAAAATTATACCATACCTGTTGTATAAAAACTCCCTGGTTAACAGATTGTATATGTTTTGACCTAAATTGATCATGTGACAAATTCTTCCTCCCTAACTTTTTGAAGCAAGAAAAGTAGGGTTTGGTTTTGTTTTGTTTTGTTTGCTGAAATTGAAAAATTATTTCTGCCTATCTTTTTTATACTCAGGGCAGCACTTAAGTTATAGTGTATGATAAAATCTAAACCCTCTGCTAAGGAGAACTGAAACGCCACCATTCACCTCCCAAAGTGAAGTGCTAGGTAACCCTCATTTAACTCTTCTTATAACTCTCAGAAAAGTCTTCCATTTGAAGATTAACTTTATTTCAGAATGAAGCATGATATGGAGACAGATAATATTTTTAAAATTTATATTTTTAATTTTTGAATCAGTGAGGACAATAGTTTGCTGTTTATTGGTACAAAACAGCCCTGTCCCGGGTATACAAGGGCATACATAAGTCTGTAACATCATTAGCTACAGTGGATTTACTTTACTAGACAGCATAGCAAAATAGGATTAACTAAAGATATATTTTATAAGAAAATGCTTTAAAATAACATGAAATCAATGAACATTTGACTGTACAATTTCCTTGTCAAAATATAAATGTCAGCTTATGTGTGTGAATTACACTAAAGTCATTCTAAACACAGCCATGTGCTCAGGAATGTGGGAGACAATTCATAAGCTATTCCCTAAGGGGGTATATTGAGAACTTCCAAAAGTACCCCAGAAATTTGGTCATAGATAGATATACTTTAAGGCAATCTTCCAAGTGAATGTAAACTTTTCTGAAGTGGCCTTTCCAGTAAAGTATTACTTTTGTGACTACTCTGTATTTATCTGCCATACAGATAGGGTATTTTTAGTAGCACATCATCTCACTAATTGTCATTTTGTAAAAAATAGTTTAAAAATCCTGCATTTGTAAAAAATGTCTGGGGTGCTTTTACTCATGGATATAAAGCAGGCACTTTCTGTTGACTTACTGCAAATCCTAAATGTGTTCTCCTAATAACAGTTTTTATCTCTAGCTAGTACTGTGTTCTTAATATTGTTTGTGGTCTAAATACTTTGCTTACACACTGGGAAATAATTTGCCTACCATTTGTCTAATTTAAATCTGAGTTTAAAATTTATTTTAATAGGTCATATTCTACAGAAGCCTTAAAAATAAATAGTGCTACTCTTTGAACATTTTTTAATATGATGACATTTTTGTGTCTGTTACACCCTTTTCCAAAGGAGTTTTCAGAGCATATGAACTAAACTGACTACACTGGAGAAGTGGATACGGGCCATTGTAAGAGTCCCCTTGTAACTAAGAGACCACTTAGTTTCATTTAATCTCCTTCTTAGCCTTATAATTGGCAGAGACCACCAAGTAATTATCTGGATTCATGTCCTTAAGAGTTGGAGATTTGCTTTGGATGGGGGATGTTTTGCCATCCACACGGGAGATCTGCAGCATTCGGCAGGGGTCGTGTTTCAACAAGTACCCTGCAAAAGTTTCCCATCCTCCTCCCACACGGACCATGACATGTTTGTTGTGCAGCATCTGAAATAAAAGAAAAGCAAAAGCGTTACATTGAGAATTCTTACAGGATCTCGAATCAACTCCCTGTTTTAGTGAAATTCATGTTTTTATTTGTCTTGTATCTCAGCCCCAATTGCTTTTCTACTTGGTGCACAGTGTCTGAGTTAGCATATAGTTTATGAAAGCAACCTTTTTTTTTTCTGTGTAAGTGGATTTGAGGGTAAATGTCCCCAAGATCCAGCTTTGTTGTGTTATGGGAGCCAGCATCTATGTATAATTTTTTGGTCTAATGGTGCCTGGAGGCTTCTCAGACATCTGATATTCCATTATAGCTTGTATCACTGCCTCTGATTCCTGCCTGCTGCCTCAAGTTAGTCCTTCATTCCTCCCAGTTTTATTCCCCTCTGAACCAAGACTTACAAGACCATGGAAATGTCTGCTACTGAATTATAATGCTAACAATCACACACATATTCAACATAAAACAGAGTTGAAAATGCACTCAAGAAATATTGAAGTCTTCCCTGGTCACTGTCTGAACTCTTCAAGGCAAGGTGTTTTTGAATAATTTTTTTTTTCCTTTTCCCTTACTCTTCCTAATGACTCTAAAATATATCTTTAAAAAAACAAACAACAACAAAAAACTTACCTCCAGGTCCAGGAGCTATCTAGAACTCCAGATTAACAAGGCTATAGATTTTAAAAGTTAAGAATGTATGTTTAATTATATGTAGTAAAAACATGTCAGAGTTGTGGAGATCTGGCATGAAAAGCCGAAAGAATTTGACTTTGGCTTATTTCAATATCAGAAAATTTAAAATTAAGGGGAAATGCACAATCACCAAAGACCCTGCTGACCCCCGTCTTGCCTGCAATATGGATCATGTAGCCTTGGAAAGGGGGTGTATTTGTAAGAGCAAGTCTTGGCAGTCATTTTCATTGTAGAGTCTAAAAAATCTATTTGAATTTTTCCCATTCTGTGTTGCCTGACATCTAGACTTCTTTTAACTTTCATCTAGTGAAGATGATTGTGCTCTTACTACTTTCATTTAACCTTTGAGAATTTAATGAAAGTTTTGACCCCACTCTCCATATGCCTGCGTCTACAAAATTGTGCATGTGTGTTTGTGAGTTTCACAAAATCTCATAAGTCCATCAACGGACTCAAACTAAAAAACCCTGACTTATGTTGTTGACATGAAGCAGTTTTCAAAATCAAATATTGTGCAAAGTAACAACAATCTAATGAACACCAGCAATTAAAACTATCAGATCCACAAGAATTAAATGTAACTCTACTAATTATTCTCATTTAGAGTATTAGAATGTTAGGATAGAAAAAAAGAAAATCTTAGAAAACATCTTCTAGCTAGAAGTCTTTAAACCTATTTTAGTATCAGATTCTACTCATTAAGTAAAATCTCAAGAAGAACCCATGGAATATATAGCAGATAAAAAAGATTCAGGATTTAGCTTGTAGCTATTTTGTGTTTCCCTGTCCTGCCAGGGGTACCATGTTCTTCTTTTACAGATGAGAATACTGATGAGCAGCTCTTTGATTTGATTTGCTCAGCCAGATGTTCTGATTGCAGTCTAGGGCTTTTCACATGACAGTTTCTACTTAAGAAATAACATCCACCAGGACTTTTATAATTTGAGCCATGTACTCCCATCCCCACAAGTTTCTGTATGTGCTTTTTCCAAAACATGAAGTCACTGGGACAAAAATTGCAAAGGCAGTGTCAAAATAGCACTTTGACCCTTTCTCCCACTGTTCCACAGAGCAACTTCGCCTATTTGTTGAAGTTCTGGCACCTTCCAGCTCTGCAAATTGCATTGAAGAGTTGCCTCCAAACATCCTCGGTATGAATGCCTCTGGCAGACTGCCCAAGTTCATTTGACTGCTTGTGAGCAGGCTATTTGAACCAGAAAGAACCACCAGTCAGAACAGTTTGTGAGCAATTTTGAGAAGCAGTGACACAATTTTCATTTAGGCACACATTCTGCTTGCAGATTTCTTAATGAATCCATAGGACCATGCAAAGTAAATATTACATGAAATATACTGAATGTGACTGACACAGGAATTAAATTTCTACTCTAAGTATCTTGACCTATGTATATATGTATTTATCCAAAATACTTAAAATAAAATAAAAAACTTTTTACATCTTCACAGAAGATATTGATCAATATTGATTCCATACTGAAGAGGAGTAAATTGCGGAATCCATTACCTTTACTCATGCCTCAGTTTGGCTACTCCTGGGAGATGGAAAGGTTTTAGGCTTCCACAGAAAATCTTAACAACTTCCCTGTGAGGTAGGTGGCCTCGTCTAAGGACACACTGGAGAAAGGAGATTTTTCAGTTCTGAGACATCCTTGCTCAAGTCTCAGACCTTGCTAATCAGTAACCTATAATTTGCTAGGAAAACCAGTGGTCAAACTAGGCAATAGTTTTAAATGTGGGATTCAAATATTAGGGTCACACAAAAGATAACAAGTGTTTGGAGAGAACCTTTATACACTATTGATGATAATGTAAATTAGCACAGGCTTTATGGAAAGAGTACAAAAGTTCCTCAAAGTATTAAACATAGATCTACCATATGATCCAGCAATCCCACTACTGAGTATATATCCAAAGGAAATAAAATTAGTATGTTGAAGAGGTATCTGCACTCCTATTTTTATTGCAAAACTAGTCACAATAACCAAGATAAGGAATCAACCAAAGTATCTATCAACAGTTGAATGCATAGAGAAAATGTGATATATGTATGCAATGGAATATTATTCAGCCACAAAAAGAACAGAATCCTGTTGTTTGTGACAACATAGATGAGCCTGGAGGTCATTATGTTAAGTAAAATAAACCAGGCACTGAAAGACAAATACTGCATGATCTCCCTCATTTGTAGAATCTAAAAAATGTTGATCTCATAGAAGTAGAGAATAGAGTGGTGGTTAATAGAGGCTGGAGTGGTTGGTTGGGGAGGGTGATGAGAAGATGTTGATGAAAGAATCGATAATACTCGGTGATCTATCACAGAAACAAAGGGCTGAGTACCACATGTTCTCATAAGTGAACCTTGAACATTTACCATACTACTATGAGAAAGGGACTGGCAGTAGTGGGATACTGCCAGGGGAAGTGGGGTGGGGCACAACATCAATAAGGGTACCTGATCTCAAACCAGGCGAAATGGAGACCAAAGGGAGGCCCAAACTTTACCTGTGTGATGACCACTTGTATATCTAATCCTGAATTGTACCCCACATCTTTAAAATAAAAATATATATATAATTGCAGTTAAATGGGGGAATAAGTTGAAGACATCTATTGTGTTGCATGGTGACTACAGTTAAGGAAGATATATTGCAAAATGCAAAAGAGTGGATGGGAAGTGTTCTTGACACAAAAAATAACTATGTGAGGTAGTACATTTATTAGTTAGCTATATTTAGTCACTCTACAATGTATGTATATGTCGGAACATCATATTATTGATGATAAATACATACAATTTAATCTGTCGATGTAAATAAATAAGAGAGGACCCATATATAAAGTCTTTTTTTAAAAAAAGATATTAGGAACATAGAGATGTATAGCATTGATTATAGATATTTAAATTTCATGCCTTTTTTGTATATGCTCAATCTCAAAAACAAAAGTTTAATATTTACCAACTGCTCCAAAAAAACCCTCTACTATTTAAGAGCAAATCAACCTGCAATAAACCAAATTCTTCAAACTCTTTCCTTTCTTTTTTCATAATGCTTGACCTACAATGAACTCTTCCACAGCAGAGCTGCTGAGCTGGTTTAGAAGGAAGATTATACACGTCACTCAAGAACTCATTTCATCTCAGGGATTACTGACAGTAGACCAATTACAATTCATTGATCCTCTTACTTTTTGTTTTGGTCAGATCCATTTTCTGTTCCTTGATTCTTAACACTCTGCTCATTCTTCATCAGTCTACTGATGCATCCCTCTTGACACCTCTACTGGCTAATTTATCTGCATCTGTGTTTATCCTTTTTTCCACCTTTCTCTTCCCAGAAAGAAATTCTTCTATCCAAGCTCAATTCCCCCTCCTATGTTCTAATTCCCATTAACTCCCACTCTTGCTCTTATACATGCTCCTTACATCTGAGCTTTTTGATAGTTTATACTCGGTACCTTCACTTCTAACTTCATTCTACAATCTCAAACTACAGTACACATTGCTTCTACCCCTGTTTCTTAACTGACTTCTTGGAGAAAGGGAACCAGATGGCCCCTAGATGTATCCAATTCAATGGAAGGTCCATAATCCTTTTCTTTCTTGAGAACTCTATCAAGTAAGGTAGTATCTGGTGATAGTGACCACCGTCCCACTTGAAACTTGCTATTCCTTGACAACCTATGACAAGTCTGTTTCCTGAATTGCCTACTACCTATCTCATGTTCTTTCTCTGCCTCCTTCATAGATTCCATTTCTTCTACATTGTTAAGTGCTGTTGTTCTAAAGAACTCTGTCCTTTTTCTACTGTTTTCTGTCTTTAACTACTCTCCATTTGCAACCTCATGGTTTTCATTACCGTCTGCTTTTGTCTCCCAAATTCTAAGTCTAGCCCTTGCCTCTTCCCTGATATTCAAACATCACCTCCACCTAGAAAATTTTCCATGACCATCTCCCTTCTCAGATAAGTGCATCCTTCTTTGCTATGCTTATTTACCCATTATTTCATTGTGATATTCATCCTGTCATATTATAATGGCTGATTTGTCCGTACATCCGTTTTCAGAATATGTGAACTCTCTGACTGGAGGGATGATGTTTTTCTCATTTATGGAATCTCACATAAGAAAGCGCAGAATGTGTCAATACTGTAATCATATAATAATCTATTTTACTTATACTTCCATAGGCTATACTTACTTTGTCTAACCCATGATGTTATTATCAGTTTTTTGTGTTTTTTTTTTTGAGTTGGAGTCTCACTCTGTCGCCCAGACTGGAGTGCAGTGG